TCAAAAGTGTTTGGCTTAATTTGAACTTTAGGAATAAAAATTGAAATTTTATTGCCTAACTTAAACCAGGTCCATTCATCTTAGCGTACACTTTCTCTGAGGCACAGCGGCCCAAAGGTGGTAACTAGTTTGACTACAAAGCAGTTAAATGATCTCTCTAGGGATTTTTAAAACCATTTTCCTGCCAAAATGAGAGGTATGGCCATTGCTCACGTGTAACTGTTACTCTCCTATGACACATTAAACTCAGAAATGAGCTCTATAGGGAAGTTCTTTTGAGTTTGTGTTTTGGTGATGATAGTTGTTTTTATTGTTGTTTCTTCCTTTTATGCTGTGCAACTACTCAATCTCTCTCTGACCACCTTCCTTCTAGGTCTACTAAGGGCAATCTTCTCTCTTTGGATTTTATGCCAGTTGTGTATACCAATATGAGTTTTAAAGGAAACAGACTAAAATTAGTAGAGAGAAGAAGTGTTGCAGGTGGAGCATTTCACCCCTCTAATTGCTGGCATCTATAGGCAGATTTTTATTGATACTTGTAGAAGATTGGAGGTGCCAGAGACTATAGAAATGGACACCATTGACCTTTTCAATGAAAGGATAACGTGCTTTTAAAAATCACAAGAATGTTTTTATAGTTCAGTAAAAACTACCTAAAATGAACTTAATGTTTATTCACTTGGAGTAGTATTAATTATGTTAATATGTAATTTATTTCAGATCATTTGTTTATTGCTGAGTAATTGTAGTATTTTCTTTTAGCTAAGATTGTGTTACAGTAATGTATTTTTCTTATTTTAATAAGTGTGGCTGTCTTGGTTAAGTCTTTTAATTGTAATCTTTTAAACTCAGCCATGTTTCTACTAAAAGATCTGTCCTATATGTATCGCCCTGACTTGTATGTAAATTTCAGATGAAAATTTGTATGCTTGCTTCATGTCTATGTTGTCATCGTATATTTGATTGATTATGGTATTATATCTCAATATTTCTCAAAGGATTACTCAACCACCAAAGTGTACAAATTTGCTAATAGGTTAGAAAAGATACACTAAGGTCATAATAGTTTTATATATTACTATTTCTAAAAATCTTTCTCAATTTCCAATGACGTATTTATCAAGTTAAGAAAGTATTATTTTTATAATATAGTGCTATAATTATTCATTATCTTTGCATTTTTTATCTATAGGAAATTGCTGATAAAGATGGAAACAATAAAGTTCTATCTTTTACTATACCTTCTTTATCTAAGCCTTCAATATACCATGAGGTAAGACTGGAAAGGTAGAAATTTTAAACATTATATTGAGTAAGAGATAAAAGTCAATTTCTTACTAGAGATAAATATTTCTAACACATCTTTACTGATTTGTTTCTTAAATGTAGATATTTGTTATTAGTGGTATAAAGCAGAACTATAGTCAAGGGAAACAGACAGTAATTAATGGAAAATTTTCTTCTAGTTCTTGTTTATTTCTTTTTCATTCTTCCACCAGTATCATTTTCAGTCTTTTTTATTAGTCTTTTACAAATTTTCAAAAATATTCTTTAATTTTAAAAATATTTTTGTATTATATAATATATATTATATTAAATTTATATATTAGAAATCATCCGTTAAATTGCTTTTTCTTAATTTTTAGGAAAATGGCTAAGAAGAATATTAACACTGTAATTATTTTATTTCCATTTAAAGGAGTCTAGCTGATGAATTCTAGCTGTTCAGTAATATTACACTTCTGATTTTTGCTTTTATTTATTTGGTCGAAGAATGTGAGAACACTGATAATTATATAGGTAGATGACTCCTGTTGAGCTGAACTCCTGTCTGCTCTCTTTAAAGATATATGTTATAATTAAGGTTTGGTCTGTAGTGGCCTGTAGTGTGTAAAGTTGTGAGGAAAACTTTTAAAGAAATGTTACAAGTAGTCAGAAAATTATATTCCATTTTCTTACCAGTAAATAGTATCCAGTTGCCTCATAGCTCTATGTGGCTATTTATTTTCTTGATTAATTTCTTAATTAATTCCCCTGGGACTTTGTTTTGTGTTGGAAATAGAATGCCTCCTATTTAACCAGGGCTGAACATTAGCATAGAACATTTCTGAATAGTAGATTTTAACTGTGTCCTATGTATCATGGTATAAAATAAGAAGACAGTGAAACATTTATAAATGGACGGTTCTTCTAACTTTAGAAACATGAGACATTTGATCATAGTCTTCTTGTTAGTGTTATGTAATTATAACTCTCTACTCTTTGCTTTCTTCAGTGTAGAATGGGATTAAGGAGAGTACCAACCTACCTGAAGTTAGACAAGTTTGGATGCATAATCTCCAAGAGTTCTCTGAGTGAAAATTGATTTTATTTGTAGCCTTTAGTCTTCAACAACTGTTCTTATTGTGTCTCCTAAATATCGATTCATTCTATAGTATTTCAAAAACTAAAGCAGTATATTTTTAGTTGTATATATTATATATATAATTTTAAAAACAGCTATAGAAGGTATATAACTGAAAAGTGGAAGAGCTTTTGAAAGAGAAGAAAAAAATGGTCTGAAAGTGCCTTTTATTGAAACAAAATTATATATCCTTACATGATATAGGTTTTTACTTAATTTTAGAGACATAGTCTCATACTTTACCTCGTTTTTGTAGCCCTCAACAATTGGATCCATGGCTTTGACAGAAGGGGCATTGTGTCAGCATGATCTCATCAGGGTTGTTTACAGTGATCTTCATCCTCAGAGGGAAACATTCACTGCACAAAACCGGTAATGATCAAAACGGTAGACAGTAATAATTGTTAGTTTATGCTTTATAGTTGACTATAATTATTTTGATTCAAGTTTGGTATGAGAAGAGACAAAAAGTTAAGTATGTCATACTAGTGAAATACATCATACCAGTATATACCCATCCATCTAATGGATGTACTGTATTATAATCATTTTGTATAAAGCAGTGTAAAAACTAATAGAGTGGGCATGAAATCAGCCAAATGAGGGTTTGCATTGTAGCACTACAGCTTGTAAGCTTGCCCTTTCTAGCAGTTTGTATACACTCTACTCCATGCTTTCTTCATTGTAGAGTGGGGTAGAGTACCTATCTACCCGAAGTTAGACAGACTACAGAGTTTGAATGCACAGTCCCCAGCACTGCCCTCACTTTGACATCATCTGCAAGTTTTAGAGGGTGGGTTCCCATAACCACTCTTTGGTTTGATAATTTGCTAGATGGACTCACAGAACTCACTGAATGAAAGGTTTATATTCACAGTTATGATTTTTCACAAGGAAGGGATACAGATTAAAATCAGCCAAAGGAGAGACACATAGGGTAGAGTCTGGGAGGGTTCCAAACACAGAGTTTCTGTTGTCCTCACCCATGGACTCAGGATGCTTACCCTCCCAGCATCAGTGTGTGATAGTAGGCATAGAATCAGACTCAGGTGAACTTTGATTCCAGAGTTTTTATTTGGCTCCATTATGAGGCATAATTGATTATATTGATTGCTCACGTGTTTGCTCTCAGCCTCCAGGTTGATTGATACTATGTGACCCAAAGCCCCACCCTGAATCACATGGTGGTTCTTTATAGTGAGGTCAACCTCTGTCTAAGAATGTCAGATGTGACCGATCCCACCCTTGACCTATTGCCTACAACACCCACCCTAAACACTCTATCAGGTTTGACCTAGGTTACTTCCTGGCAGGGAGGCAAATGCCAGACCTCTTAGGGCAAGGCCAAACTCTATTACACAGACCATCCCCTGGCCTTTGGCCAAGGCTGTTTTAAACAAAAACAATCATGTTTATCTGGGCATCTACATTTAGTGTAGCTTTTATGTGACACACACACATAGTAATACAGTCATTATGAATATACCTAACATTGATGAGCCTGTGTAAGCTAGAGACAGATTTGAAGAAACAACTAATTTATTCTATATAATCACTATACACATTTTCATCTTTGTGCCAATTTGATTACTCTTTCCCACTCCACCCCAATCTGCTGCTGTTTGTACTTTATGATAAAGCAGAGTATTTATCATAGAAATCAGCTGATGATTAGCTAAATCCAGCTCTTCTCTCAGTCTGTTTTCCATTCTGAGACATCCGAAGGATGCTTTAACTCAATTTACCGATATGTTTGACCATCACTATCAGTATTAAAACCTACCAGCAATACCAGTGTTTCACCATATCACAGAATGACAGTAGATGTAACCTGAAAAATAAGAGTCTGTCACTATTATTCCAGTTCATCATCATATCATGGCACCAAAATGTCTCCTAGAGCAGTGCCATTCAAGTTTGCAGGCTTCCGTCTGACTTTATCAAGTTCTGAAAGCAGAAGTTGTCTCACCAACACATGGCTTCACCCTTTTGGGACTCTGATATAATTTAGCCAAGAGACAATATCATCTCTTGCTCTGAACCTCTCTTAAGGTAGCAATGTTATATTGAATTTCCCTCAGTGCATAATTCATTTATTAATTCTTTTGTCAGCTATCATTCCTCACTCTCTACAGTTGTACCCAAACTTTCTGCCTTTGAAAGGACTGTTCAGTTCAGCTGCTGTGCTGGTCCAGACTGCTGGCAGCAGCGCTAGTCTAGCATGTGCCTCCTCTTAGTCACCCCCATCCATGTGGGGGTAGATTTACTCAGGTACGGTACTAGTGGACTGTCTCAACCATTACAAAGTACATCTGCATTCTCTGTCAACCCCAATTTTGCTGGATGGAGTGAAGGCACAACCTGCCTATCAGGCACTTAGGAATTCTGACATGAAGGTTTAAAGACAGAGTTATAGTTTCTTGCTTAGGAATCATCTCTGCTTCTGGCACTCATGGTGGCAACCCTGGTCCTAAGGTCATCACTTTAGGTAAGGGAAAAAAGTTGAGGTGATGTGAAAAAGGAAGAAAAAACTAGTTATACCACCATCCCTGTGGGAAGAATTACATAGTCTTACCAGCATTGTCCCCCTACCCACCTCTTCCCAAATCACCCAGAAAAGGGGAGAAATCTGTCTAGAGGTGGCCCTCCCTTGGTCCTCCTCATGTTGAGTGTGAGTGCACACCCCAGCCCCATTTTAGAACAAATGTTTCAATTGCTTTTTCCACTTCTCTGTCAAGTCATTAACCTGAGGGTATCTCCTTACCCATTGTTAGACCTTATGAGCTGTAAAATGTGTTCATGTGTTCCTTGCTCTAAAGAAATGTGACTCAGCACCCCAAATTAGTGCAGTGTCGTCTGTGTGGTCCTTGTACAGTACTTTGAGTATTTGATCTACCATCAGGTAAACAAAGCTCAGTGCAGAGTGTCTATTCCTGTCAAGACCCATCTGTAGCCTCCAGGGCCCACTGGCATCAGTCCAGCTGTCAGTGCCGGGCCTTACTTTGAAGGAATCTGCCCATAGCCATCTGCAGTCTCTGTTTCTCTTGTGGGCAGATAGAACAGTTCTTTTTGACATTTGACATAGAAACAACCTTAATGTCCGTTGACAGAGAATGGATAAAGTCGTGGTATATTTATACAGTGGAACACTACTCAGCAATAAAAAAAAAGAATAAAATAATGCCATCTGCAGCAACATGATTGGACCTGGAG